GACCTGGAAGGACCTGAAGGTGCGAGGGGAAAGAGCCGAACAATTCATCAAAAGGAAGAAGGCGGAAAGAGGCCAAATACCAGACAACGCTCCGCAACCGAACTTCACCCCGAGGGGTAAAGGAAAAGCGCATGCGAACGCCGTGAACGCAAATCAAACGTTCGAGGTGCAAGCGCAACCGCAGCAGCAGCAGCAGCAAAAGGCACCTCAACAACCAAGGTGGCAACAGCAGACCCCGAGGCCGAAAGCTTCGGAGCCAAAGTTCCCGAAAGTTTATTCATTCAGAGAGGACGAAGTTCCTGGGATCTTCAAATACCTCGTGGAGAATAATAAAATCAAATTGCCTCCAGTTCAAGATCAGGAGGACGCCAAGAGGATTAATGATCCGAAGTACTGTGCATTCCACAGAGCGGTGCACCACCCCACCAAGGTATGCTATGCTCTTAAGGACAAGATCCAGGCTCTCATCGACGTCGGGGTCATCACGATGAAGCAGCCAAAGGAAAAGAAAGTGGGTGCGAATGCAGTCACGATTGGCTTCGGCTTCTTTCCCGTGAGCCAGTTCCAGCTTGAGCCGGTAATAAAAGCAGCAGTGAAGACGGTGAACGATGATCCTCACAAACAACGCCAGAAAGGACTTGTGCCACACACAGCCCCTAATGGCGAAATTCTTTGGGTTCATCCGGATTTGATCGGAGACGAACAGTGGACTGGGACCTCTTCCAAGAAGAAATCAAAAGGGAAAGGTAAATCTTGTTATGGGGTGTCCGCTATTCCAGGAAGGGACGATGACAGAATTCCTGCCTTCCCACTTTCCGAAGATGAACAGGAAGCCCTTGCAACTCGGAGCGGTAACGAGTATCATTACAAGTACCCGGATGCTTCCGAGCAACTAGGTACCAACACTCCTCCGTCCAAAACATTGGCAGAATTGGGGATAGCAGCAATCCCCTCAACGCCTATAGCCGCGGAAAGAGTCCAACAGAAGGAGAAAGGAAAAGAGCCTTTACGCCAGGAGACCCAAAACCCGAGGCAGTCTCGATTCAATCATCCGATTGGAAGAGACAAACCGGGGAATGCGAGCTCTCCACCTCATTTCGACATCATGGCGCAATTAGCCAATATCCCGGCTAGGATAACCCTTTACGAGTTATTGCGCCTATCCAAGGATACAAGGAAAG